AACTATGGGACAGACACCTTAAATTTTGTGATTATTTTAACGCTTATTTCCCTCAAGATGGTAAAGTCAGTGATTACGTTAAGATCACATGTCCAATGTTAATATTGCACGGGGACAGGGTATGTTTAGGATTGAAGTCCAAGTTTAATAAGTATTTAGCAAGTTAATGGCAATTTTTAATGATACAAAATATTGATTATTATTTAGGACCCGATGAGTACGATAGAGCACCCGGAGACTTACATGAAGCACATAAAGTCGGCAAAACTACACCGATTCCCAAATGGCAACCATGACTTACACCAAAGATATTCGGCTTCATATAAAAAACTTGTTGAAGAATTTCTGCTCAATTGAAACATCAGTTTTAGTAGCTTTTAAAAAGTCATTAAATATTAATAATTATATTTTATTTTAGGTAAAAATAAAAGTTTAATGTCTGAATAAAATTTATTTGCTTTTAGCATTTGTCGTATTGAATTGGTTTTCAGGAAATTTTTTTTATTAAATATGATTTCATTTTATATTCAATTTTATAAAAGGAAATTTAAAGAGAAAATATTTGTTTTACACAATAAAAAAAAGTTAACGACCCTTTGCTTAAGTGTTTCCTTTAGGATTACACTTTTTATGATTTAGATCTCAATTGTGAGTTTTATTGCGTTAATATAAAAAAGTAATTTTAGTTTAAAAAACAAATCAAGATGTTATTAATATATTCTTTGTGTATTTAAGTAAATTTTGCAATTTAGTTAAATTAGTAAAAAATATAGTATACGTATTTTTATAATCGTAAATTCTTAGTTTGATTTACGTAAGGTTAAAGTAAATAATATTTTAAAATCTAAATTGTACACAATTCACCTCATACAATTTAAACAAAAAGTCAGCACTTTATTCATTAGTTAAGCTGTTATTAAATTTGTACTAAAATAGTTTTATTTTTATTTTACCACACAACTACTGTATACATATTTTAATTTAATTTTTAATTACAAAAATTCAATATTCATTGTGAAATTTACAGTTAAATACTTTTATAAATTTGGATAGTAGTATTTAAATATTGTATTGGGAAATTATAGTAATGTGTTGTAGTAATTAAATAATTTATATAATTTACATAAAATTAATTAGTACAGATAACTTAATAAAATCTTACCTAAATATAAGTTTCACAATCATTGCAAATTACTTATGCAAACAAATTAGCTAAATAGAAAATACTACTGAAATTAATAAATTAAGGTTTTATTAATTGTAATTTAATTGAAATATAAATTAAAAATAAAATTAATTAGATTTCTAGCTTGACACATATGACACTACTAATGAGCAAACCATACCATTTATTAACTTTAAGAGGATTTTAAATATAAATCTTATAATACCGTTATTAACAAATTTTTTATTAGTTAGAAATTATTTTTTCTGATATTTCATTGAATAGAGAGAATTAATTTTCTAATTTATTATTTTATGAATTCAAATGTGCACGCTAGTCATCTCCAATCAACAGGACTGACATATATTTGGACTGCCTTTTAAAGTTTCAACACTACTTATAAGTATTGTTAAATTGTCTATAATTTAAATGAGAAAAACAAGAACAAGAAAACAAAAAATACGGGAATTTTGGCCAAACCTCCTGCCAATGTATGCCGTTATTGTGAAAACTTATTATTTGGTTAAGACTTGGATTTCTCGTTTGATTACACACTCTAATAGTGAATTGAATAGACTTCGACCCCCTTTGGTACACAATTATGTATATTTTGTAACAAATGATTGGTTAGAATATATTCTACAGTTATAATTAATACTTTACAAGGTTTTAAATACAAGACAAAACTATTTGAAATATAGTAGTCAACTGAAAATCAGCGATAAATTTAGTTTTAAAGTATAGACTTATTGTATATTAAGTAAAGTATACTGTACAGTAGTTAGATATATTAACTTAATGTAAATATCAATTATGGACGACCGAGACGCTAATAGTGGGAAAGTTGACATAAATGGTTATCCCATTTGGTACGAAAAGTTTGGTACTGGATCTAAGCCTGTCCTTCTGATTCCTGGTGGTATCGGTGCGTGATTTTTGATAATTGCTATCATTAGGAGTCATAAACTTTGAAGATTGTGATAAAAAATAATATAAATCTAATTAATTATGATTTGATAATAAGGGACGGGAAGGACTGATTACTGGGAGCAACTGGAGGGCGACGATGCGTTGGACACGAATCGGTTCACATTGATAGCCGTGGAGTCCCCGGGTTGGGGTCGATCTGCCCCACCCGCCCGACGCTTTGATATCAATATGTACAACAGGGATGCTGAATGCTACTATCAATTGATGCAGGTATTTATTAGTTATTAATTTTTATAATTATTTTTTAATTACTATGTAATATCTGGTTAAAATGGATCAAAATTATTGTTTGAATTAATTCATTAAAAGCAAAATTTTTAGTAATTGTAGAATAAATTTAAATAATATTACAGTAAATATTCACAAAATGACAAAATTAACTTTAAATTCTCATGCAATAATATGAAAGCACCTTGGATATGAAAAGTTTTCCGTGATTGCGTGGTCCGATGGTGCCAAAGGTGCCCTAACCCTAGCCATCAAATACTCTGATTCAGTGAATGCGATGGTATTAAGCGGTGCCTCAATATGTGGGTCCAAAGAAGCCGTCAGATTCCTCAACACTATCGTAAAGGTCGACAGTTGGGGTCCGGGAAGACTGGACTCCTATCTCAGGAG